AAATAGTATATTATTTTCAATAATAAGAATATATATAAATGAAACAATAAATAAAAATAAGACAGACAATATCTTCTTGAGTTTTTTGAGTTAAAACTAGTTTTGTGTAAGTAGGATATTAAAAATCTAATATCCTACAACTTCTAAAGGTTTCATAAATTTTCTAGACCTTTGAAGTGAACTAAGTATTGATGTAACTCTCTATTACAAATCATTTAAAAAGGAACATTAATTTAAATGTTAAACATAATTAAATAAACAACATTTTTTTTCCAAAGTAGTAACTTTCAAGCATATTAAATAGTTTTATCAGAGTCAGTGAACTCAAAATTCCAAAGGACAATTTTTGAAGCCATTCAACTGAACAGTTTTGTATTCCAACAACCAATACTTGTTTGTTACCAGGATAAACATGTCATTTTAAATTACTTAAAATAAATTTGATATTTCTGAAACCAAATCTAATGATACAATTCCCCAAAAAAATATATAATATAATCTTTCCACTTTAGTAACTTGTAAAATTGATACTTGTAAATGTTTCCTGTTTATTATAATTATAGATCTAGAAACACACAAATTTATTATCTGATATACATAACAGGTACTGGATAAAATTGCAAATGTTTTTATTATAAACATATACATTGAATTTTTTAAATAATTTTTTCAACAATATTCCAGAAATGTTTTGAATAATATAATTTTATTAATATCTGTTTATCGTTAATAATATTATTATTAAAGTAAGTTATGACATCATTGTTCGGCCGAACTGGATAGGTGTGGCCCATTGTGGAGGGAGTTTACGATTGCACTGTATATATTTATTTAAATATGATTTATAAATAATAATAAATGATATGATTTGCCATTTTCACACCTGTAAGGATCATACATGCTTGAATAAAAATTCCTTGAACTTCTTAAAAAATAATTAAGAAGCTTAAAAATCATTAAGTTTTTATATCTTTGAATCTTATTAGAGAATTTTAATATTTGAGCATACTTTGGAAGCTCCATGAAGTGATGAAACTAATTTGTAATGAGTGTTAGAGTGCCGGGGACTGTGTGTTGTTAATTAAATTTTTATCCATGAAAAGGTATATGTATAAATAAGCAAACTATACATCAGTATATTTATTATAGTTAGTATATAAGAACAATTTGAATAAATAAATTGTTCACCTGAAATTCCTGTTTATCTAGATTCAAAAAGAAGTAGAGTTTTTAAATGAATAGAATTTAATAATAATTTTACAATGAAAAATGTTTGCCATTCTACAAAACTATATTCAGTAGCAATACTGGCATTTATTAATCATTTCTCTGTGTTATGTGTTATGAAATTGTATTTTACTCAGATTTTTTTTATATCACACACATTTTGACAACAAATTTTAAGTTTTAGATTTATTTAGTACTGAAAGTATATATTTATTTTACTTCAGTAGTTCTAAATTTTCATTCACTGAATTGATCCGGTTTTATGTAGTCTGGATAAACAAATTTCTGTTGTATCTAAAAACATCCTCTGTATATTGATCTGAGATATTGTCAACCATGTCAAAAACTGTGACTTAAGGCAAGTTTTTAATGTAGTTGCAGATGCCTTGGTTCTTCTAAGTTCAAATTCAATGAATCCTGGTAGAGTATTGTAAACTGTTAGAAGTAGATATAGCGCCAGGATTCGTTGTCTAATAAAACCCCAGCAGAATTATTCATCAGATTATATTTGATGCTTTCTACTTTTACCTGATACTGTTAACTTACCTCAAATACATTATTTTATAATTGTAGTGCTATTACTGCTGAATGTCAGGTACTTGTTTGTGTACTTGATTTCTAGATAGAAAAACCGAGCAGCTGTCACCCTGTGCACTGTACTTGTCTACCAGTTTTAAAAAATCAAGTGTATAAACTATCAAAAATTATCAATGAGGAAAATTATAATAAATTTTTACTGATGTATTTAAGTAGTTTTAATAATAAAGATTGGAAATAATAAATAATGGTTTATTATTTTTAATTTTTACAGACCAATTTTAATAAAATGTTGATTTATAAAATTATAAATTAACATTTTATTAATTAGAAAAGGATATTTTTTAGATTAAATCTTATCAAAAGTTTAAAATAAGACATTTTACTACATAAAAAAAAATATTTTCCTTGTTATAATTAACTAATTACTAAAACCATAAAACTTTTTCATCTTTTTGAAGCCAATCATTTCGTTTACTATTCATTAACAAATCCTCTTGTCTATCAAAATGCATAAGTTTATTAATATTTTAATTAACTGAAAGAGAACATAATCAGAAATAATTTTTGTTGTTATAATAATGAATGTATCACTGAAATAAAAATGATAAACATTACAGTTTAAATTAAAATAATTTATAATTTTTGGACTAGCCCATAAACGGCCACCTTCACGTCGAGAGTACAAGTAATTGAGAGGAAATTGGAAAGAGTGAAAATTAGAAAAATTCTTATCGATATTTGATAGGATTATTGTTAGATTCTTCTCTCAAATTCTTCATATTTTTTCACTTATTGTTTTGAAAATTGCAAAATGTTTTAATATTTAAATATTGCAATTGATATTAAGTTATAGCCATTAATCTTCAGTGATTAAACAGTGATATCAACATTGGCAAAAGTGTGTGGTTGCGAAAGGATATGTTGCTTGATTTGACAAAATGTACTGTACACATATTTTTGAGTAATAAACCAATTCTGGGAACTTTTTGAAGCTATTTTGTAAAAGCCTCTCCCTGCTAAATTATTTCAAAAATGAATAGGGCATTCCCATCTTTTATCTATGTTGCAGTTTATATACTGTGTAATTTCTCAGTTAAGCAATATTAGTTTTATATGTATTAACTGTTAATTTAAAAATTCAATAATTCATAAAAGAATAATCCATAATAAGACAAAATAAAATTTTATTTTAATGATATGAAACCGTGCTTTGCAATTTGTTTCTGCTCCTAACACAATGAAGTGCCATAAATTAAGACACTTGGCGGGTTTCCTCATCTTTATTTAGTTGAGAAAATTTTATAATTTAAAATAATATGGTGAAAATAATAAAAGATTGTCAAAAGCAGGCATGTGGTGCTAGTTAATCAACCACTTGGATCCCACAATGTTTCAAGTTGAGGGTTGAACTTTGACATCTTGTAGCATTTAAAATGTTTTACCTGTTGAGGTTACAGAATCTATATAAAACTTTCATCTTAGAACAGTGGTTTTCAAAGTTATACATTTAAACTCAGTCACAACTGNATATTGCAATTGATATTAAGTTATAGCCATTAATCTGTCTAGTCACCTTCAGTGATTAAACAGTGATACCAACATTGGCAAAAGTGTGTGGTTGCCAAAGGATATGTTGCTTGATTTGACAAAATGTACACATATTTTTGAGTAATAAACCAATTCTGGGAACTTTTTGAAGCTATTTTGTAAAAGCCTCTCCCTGCTAAATTATTTCAAAAATGAATAGGGCATTCCCATCTTTTATCTATGTTGCAGTTTATATACTGTGTAATTTCTTATTTAAGCAATATTAGTTTTATATGTATTAACTGTTAATTTAAAAATTCAATAATTCATAAAAGAATAATCCATAATAAGACAAAATAAAATTTTATTTTAATGATATGAAACCGTGCTTTGCAATTTGTTTCTGCTCCTAACACAATGAAGTGCCATAAATTAAGACACTTGGCGGGTTTCCTCATCTTTATTTAGTTGAGAAAATTTTATAATTTAAAATAATATGGTGAAAATAATAAAAGATTGTCAAAAGCAGGCATGTGGTGCTAGTTAATCAACCACTTGGATCCCACAATGTTTCAAGTTGAGGGTTGAACTTTGACATCTTGTAGCATTTAAAATGTTTTACCTGTTGAGGTTACAGAATCTATATAAAACTTTCATCTTAGAACAGTGGTTTTCAAAGTTATACATTTAAACTCAGTCACAACTGGCAAACCACCTGTGTGCCCATCCATTTCATATCTTGTAAAAATTACTCTGAATGTAATGTAAAATATTTTGTCTATTAATTTAATTTAACCTAATTCAAGGAATAAGAGTGGATCAAAATATTCTTTTCTTTAGCTAAACAGCAAAGAATTGCATTTTAGAAATATGACTATATCAGTCCCAAAACCACACTTGATGAGCTATTGACTTAACAGATTGTTTAGTTTTTCATGTGCTTTCACTTTCTTAATTTCGTCCTTATTATTAATTATCTTGCAGTTACAATAACTTTTCGATCTCTCAGTCATTTCATGTCATTTGCCGTTTTTTGTTTTTTTTTTTAACTTCCTGATGACTAGCACAATCTTCTCAAACTCAAATCTTGTAAATTAGACTCAGATCTATAAAAACTCTAAAGGGGCCCTCTCCTAAAGATTAAAGCTAATTTCAATATTATATTACTGATCAGTATCAGAAAAACTGAATGTTATTGAGACGGTGATTGTCAGTCATATTTGGAATTGTCACAATTTGAAAATTACTTTGTTAAATTGTTTAACAAATCTTTTAAGTCAGTTGTGAAAACTACATTATTTTGGGTATTTGTACCTGAAATATCTTCAATACCGGTTAACAAAAAGATGGGAACCAAGTTATGAAAATTTCTATAGTGTTAGGCATTAACTACTGCCATCTTGTCCAGTTTGTGATACAAATTCTTATCTGGGAACATAGTACAGCATGTGTTGAGCTTAAAATTTGACATGTTATACCATGTTAGATACTAACGAGATATCGATTAACTCATGACAAAACTGAAACTCAGTCATTTTCAAGTACAAAAATATTTTTAAAATGATCCATAATATATGAAAAATGTGTTAAATTCAAATAAAATCTATTGGAACATGGCAAATGAAAGTTAAGCATTTTCCAGATAATGAAGCTTTTCATTTTTTTTTTCTTAAGTAAAATTTATTTCAAATTGTTTAATCTTTCAGATCTGGACCAACATTAAAGAAAGGAAAATCTAGAATCTTTTATGGAGTTGATCAGGTACTTTTAACTTTTTGATTAAATATACATACATTATTATTTACAGAAACTAATTTAGGGTATTATAAGAATTTAAATTTTGGGCAGTTTATATGAATTATATTTACATTTTCTCAAAATTTCATTCTAGCAATACTGTTGTGTAAATGTTGTTGGTCTTGGTTCATCAACTGCTGGATATAACGAACAAGAGGAATATGATGAGAAGAAAGAAAATATACGTGTAGCTATTTCAGGTGAGACTGTTGATTTTAAATTTTCAAAGTAATATAAATTTATCTAATCATAATAATAACAATAAAATAAAACGACTTATACAAAATACTTTTATGATATTGAGTCCCCTTTTGTTCCATTGTCAGTTTAATATCTATAGCAATAATATACAGAGTAGTAATACAAGGTAGCTTCAAAAAGTTCCAGGAATTATGCTGGGTTACTCAATTAAATGTGATGAAAAAAGGAATATGTGTTGCATGTCTTAGCTAAGCATGTCAGGAATAGAGAAATATGTTCAAACAAATACATACTCACTGAAAAGATGACAACAGTTACTATTCACTGAAGGTTGTGTTAATGAGACGTTGTAAAACAGAGTTTGGTGAAAATGCCTGTGGAAGAACAATATACAAATATCAAATTTTGTGTGTTACTGGAAAGAAAACCTGCTGAGATTTTGAAGATGCTTCAGGACACCTATGTTAAACCTTCCATGAAGCATTTTCAAGTTTATGACTGGCAAAAATGCTTTTGTGAGGGACAAGAAAGTATCACTTTTGATTTACAAAGTGGTCATCTGTTGACATCAATGTCCAAGGAGAAAGTGTCGATTGTACACAAGATTGTGAAATCAGACAGACAGCAGTCAATTGAGCAGATCGCCAAGATAACAGGAATTTCAGTTGGAAGTTGTCATTCTATCCTGCATGATCAATTGAATATGCATCGTGTTTGCCAACACATGGTGCCACGAATACTCGTGGTGGACCTCATGCAGTTTCTATCTCTTCCCCAGTACCTTCAGTACCCAGTACTCTTCCTGAAAGATGCCATCAAGAGATGCAACTTCAAGAGTGCGGATGAGGTTATACAGAGTACGACATCTGCATTTCAAGCGCTGTCGTGAGATGGCTTTCAAGGATATTTTCAGCAGTTATATCAGCATTGGTATAACTGCTGAAAATATCCTTGAAAGTGTGTGGGTGCCAAAAGTGTGTGGTTGCCAAAGGACAATACTTTGAAGGACATGTTGCTTGGTTTGACAAAATACACACATTTTTGAGCAATTAACCAATTCTGGGAACTTTTTGAAGCTGTCTTGTGTAAGCCTCTTCTTGCTAAATTATTTCAAAAACGAATAGGGCAATCAATCACTATAGACCTTATGATGATGAAAATTTTTGCCAACTATAGCCCTTCTGTCATAGAGTGCTGTTGTAATCTCAACCCCTAATGAAAATAGGACAACATTTGCCAATTACAAAGTTGTAAGACATGAGATGTTACATACTACTATGTTTTACTGCATCTCAAAATATCCATTGGATCCTGGAACAGGCTGTCATATATACATATGACAGGTAAATGCATTGCTGAACAACACCCAAGGAGTAGCAGTGCATCACCACATAATACGAGGGCTGTTCGAAAAGTTCGCGGCCTTGCCTATATGCGGCGCTGCGATCAATTTAATTTTTGGCGGGAATAATTCGGCCATCCTTGCTAAAGATACGATAGCAATTTCCGTTTGATTTGTCGTAAAGTTTTGCCACGACAGCTTAGCAGATAGTCAATGTGCACATGCTTTGTCAAAAATGGAGAAGACGGAGACTCGTGCGGTCATAAAATACCTGACAAAAAAAGGGTNATATTTTCTATTATATTAGATCATTTTGCTTATTGACATCACTGCAGATGCATTTGCAGGAATTGTGAGTTTGAATCCTGTTCAGGATGATTTTTTTCTTCCAGAACATTGTAAATTTAAATTAATTTATTAATTATTAAATGTATCATGAGATGGTAACCTGATCACTTATTTCTTCTCAAATTACTTTAAATTCAATAATTAATTAGTCATAATATAGCTGAAAATAATTCAGCAGATTGTTTGGCTTATATTAAACATTTTGGGCTAGTAGATGTAAAGTTAATACCAGAAGCTATTCTAAATTCTGAACAATTCTATAAAGTTTATTGATGGAAATTGAGATTTTTATTTCCTGATCTATTTTCTCACATAATTTAAAAAAAACATTCTTATTAAAACATGAGTTATTCAAGAGAAATTTTTCACGCAGGCTTAAAATTTTAAATTTCTGCTCTACTTTGTAAACATTTTCATCAAACATATGGAACATAATAAAATTTTTTAGTCTATTAATTCTTGTTTGTGTCTTGATAATAAATTTTTAAAAATGTTACTGTTATAAAAACTAACAGAGATTGAAAAGTTTTTGCTTTTCTAATACTTAAATAGAGAAAAATTTAATCTTTCAATGTAAGCATACATTTTATCTTTGGAAAATTGCCTATTTCAGTTTATTTTGATGTCCTATCTTTTAGATCTAACTATAAATTGTAAATTAAATAAAATTAATTCATTTTTAAAACTATTGAAATTGTTTACTTTAGTAAAGGGATAATGGTTTCATTTGTTTTTTAGAATATAATTTTAAATTACTTAATTTGGTTAGAGTGCATCATATTTAATGTAACATAAATAAATTATTTGCTTTAATCAGAAGAAAATTAAGTTTAGAATAAAATAAATTTAATAATAAGTAATTTTTAAACTAATATTTTAATTTTTATTATGATTGTAATGAAGTTACATTTTATTTTTACAGTTGGAACAAAGCAGCTGCGAGAATGTGGTGCAGTTGAAATTGATGTTGATACATGTGATGATTCAGAAGGTTAGAATAATTTTTTAAATATAGATATGTAGAAATTATAATTAAAATAATCTATAAACTTGACTATTTAACTGTTTTTAAATAAGAACATTTTATAAAAATTAAGAAAAAATACATATTTTTTAGTTAAATGATTGCTAAAAAAACACTGATCATGAAATAAGATTTTTCTGTTTCAGATTGTTTGAATATTAATCATTATACACTTGTCTATACCCTTTTTATTATTAACAGAATGAACAGAGATGAATTGGATATTATTTCTAAAATGAAAACATAATTCAGAAAGAAGAAATATTAAATCTAATAAATTAATAACAGACAAGTTATTTTATCAACACAAATTTTTTTAAGATGAACATTTTTGATGGTTTTAATTGACAATTATTGGACTTTACACAAATACACAATTAGACAATAATTTTTAAGAATTGATCATGAGCAATTTTAAAAATTAACTACAAAAATAATTACAATTCTAAAAATATATTACAAAAGATAATGAATCATTTACTGAAATTAACCAAAATGTTATTGTGATATTTTTTTTTATATATTTAATTAGTCAAATTATGGCCTTATAAATCCAGTGTTATCATTTGATTAAGATATAATTGTATACAAGTTAAAAAAATAAATTCAGAGTAATATTTTTTATGTATGAATTATTATACAATTACATAAAAATTATCATCTTGTAATGATGAATTCTTATCATAAAAAATTTATTAGCTTATATTATTTTTTTATTTTACGATTATTGTCAATATAATGTAGTAATTTTGTCTTTCATGCTAAGGTTTGCTTTCATATTGTTATATGGAAATTAAATCAGAGTTGTTAGTTTGGTATTAAATGATTCATTTAATATTTGAGATAGATAATCTATTCCCATAGTAATTACTATATTTCATCGAGTCAAATAACTTTTTTTTTGGAGTGATAAAAACTTGTACAAATGATTTATGAAACTAGAAAACTAAAAACTAGAAAAAATTATCTTTTAAATAATAGTATTTGTATGCTTTTCATTTATATGGGGTATTTAAAAAAAGATGCACAAAATTTTAAGGGTTAGAAGAACAAACATTTCTTGCCATAGAATGCATGGTTGAATGCGAAGTGTTGAGGCACAAACACAATAATGACATGACATTTCTATTCTTTAATCTTTAATCTCTATTGAATTTTGTATTCTCACTATCCTTCAAGAACCTGCATTGTGCCTGTTGCTGAGGAAAAATCCCATCTTGCAAATACTCAAATGTTTTCTGATTGGAAACTGGCAGATTGGGAAAATACTTCCAGTACATTTGTTGTGGTTTCATGGCAGTGTAAGGGCAATTTTATCTGGCAGATCCTTACATGAAATGTATATTAGCCTTCTTGGCATTGGAATAATGATCCATCTCCTCAGACATTGAGGTCACAAATGGCCACGTCTGAAAAACATGCTTTTATACACTTGCTGGAAAGTGTTTTCAACTGGCTTCACAGTTCTGATTTGACTGCACATTCAGTGACAAGAAATGTTTGTTTTGGCGTGTTCTGCCACCCCTTAAAGTCTTGCCCATCTTTTTTGAAACACCCTGTGTATTTTGGATTGCATCATATTTTTTTATTATATAATTTTAAAATGTCTCTACAGATGAAGCTATATAAGTCAACTTAAAATACATATATTCACTATGTTGATATATGTATGATGTAGCTTTTAATAGCATGTGTATTTTGTTCATAATATGTTGTTGTTATGAATTTTTTGATGTTATGTAGTAATGTATTATTTATAAACTTAGAATTTCCATAATTAATCATAACATCATAATTTTTATTTAGCTGCTTCTGAAGGTGGCCACCTAGGCTTATTTTCATATGATGAACTAAAGGCAAAATCATCGCAGAAACCAATTGTTACTTTACGACCTTTTGGAAATGAAGGGTATTGATTATTGTTCAGTTTTAATTTATTAGGTTTCACTTACAAAATTATTTTATACAAATTTTATTAAATAAATAACTTTATTATTTCTCTGTTAGCTTAGATAAATGGAAAATTGGTATGGTAAAAGCAGAAGGACAGAATATTGCTAGACGATTAATGGAAACTCCTGCTAATATTATGACTCCAACAAGATTTGCAGAAATAGCTCATAATCTATTGACTCCATTAGGAGTTCAAGTTATTATCAGGTATATTTTGGGACTTTTGTAAATTAAATAATTTGTTTTTAATCACTGAATTAATTTTTATTTGTTACATTTAGAGATAAAGCTTGGGCTGAATCTCAGAAAATGGGCTCCTATTTAAGTGTTGCTAAAGGATCAGATGAACCACCAAAATTTGTTGAACTAAGCTATGATGGAGCTGGACCTGGTGTTAAACATTTGGCATTAGTTGGAAAAGGCATTACTTTTGACAGGTATGTAATTTTTACAAGAAAAGATTGCATACTTTGTATCATAAATATTGAATAATCAAAAATGTAGCATATAATACAAAGTATTTTTATTTACATGTAAATATACTTAAAACTTTGTTGTTCACAAATGATTATATAAAAACAAATGCAAACTGTCTCAGTAAGAGAAACCCAAAAACCTTAATGTTTTTAATCTTTAAAATTTTCTCTTCAGCTGATTCTTCAAGTTAACATTAGAATCTGAAGCCAAACAGTACATATAAATTTTTTAATAAATTTAGTAAATGTATTTTGAATGAGTTGCATTTAAATGAAAATTAAAGAATTAAAAATTGTTTCTAAAGTAAGAAGGATGTAAGTTGTTGAATAATTCAGACTAAATTTAATTAATTCAGAAACATCCATCCAAAAAGTTTAAATACTTAAATTGCGTTCTACACAATTTCCACAAGTTTTGCATATATATTGCTATGAAAAAATTCAGTAAATTTTATTAATACAGTATCTCCTATAATAATCGCCCATGTAAATATTCTTGTAATAATGTAATGTTGTGAGGTCAATTGCACTGATTGACCTAAATGCAGGTATGTTAATGTGTTTGATATTATCAAATAATCAACTACTGTTACAATATTTTTCAATACGGAAGTCAAATAAATAAATACTGTCTAATATCTTTATCAGCATTGACTATTACTGCTATCAAGAATTATCAAAATCTATGAAGTTAATTAAGGCAACTTGAAGTACTTCTTTCATATTATTTTCTATATATTTGTTACAGTATTCCAATTTAACTAGTCTCACCTCTCTTTTGGAATCATTCTTTTATTTTACAATGTCAATAGTTTTTACTTTAATAATTGCCCATCAAAAATGAAAAAATTGCAAAGTGGTGTGATTATCATAGGAAATACAGTACTTGATTATTTATTTTTTCCTATATTATGAACTGATAATATATCTATTCATCATTCATATTTTAAAATATATTAAAATATAAATGAAGATATTTTAAATTTTTAATACATTGAAAATATCTTAAATTTTATAAATTTTAATAACTGTAATACTCAAATACCTCTCAATTTATGTTGAAATGGACTGTAAATAACTTCTTCAGATCTTTTACACAGATGAATTATTTTGCTCTTAATACACTATGTAATATTTGAGATGAAAGAAACATATAAATTTAGTTGAAAAATGTTTATTTTAAATTTTTTGTTAATCATTTGCTGACTGCAAATTTAAAAAAATAAATTATTGTAAATAATTTTTACAATCTGTTAAAGATGTTTTTTAAACAGACTGTAACTTGCTTTTTTACAAATTTTGGTTCATTTCTGTTGATTATAATATTGCTCTATCTTCCTGTCAGTTATCCATTTTAGTCATGAGAAAACTGAGAAAAATTTGGCCATTGGCATTTACATTAAAAAATAAAATATATAAATATGTTGACGTTACAAAATGTCTTCATTTTCTGTCATTCACAACCACTTTTTATGTTGTGAATATTCAGATTTACCAGTAATATACATTTTTGTCTACTGTCCAATCTGTTTGCTTGCATAGTTTTTCTTTTCCATCTTCTTTGCCATTGCTCTTGATATATAATAACTGCACAGTAAGGATTTCTCAACTAACTGGTTGATAACTATCCACTAGGATATGGAAAGTTAAATTACTGATGGAAATTCTCAAATTACCAATTTTTTTCTTTAGTAGAGGGTACTGAGGAGATCTTTATGGATACCAATTTCTGTTAAAGATACTCAAATTTTTACCCATACAATAATTAATAGATTAATATGATAATAATAATGACTACAGTATTTACATTGACTTAACTAAATAGCAAATATAATATATCAAAAAAGATTGCACACAAAAACACAAATTACTACATATCCAAGACCCATACTACAAATACACATCTTGGATGATCATAGGGTGCATTTACTTTTTGCTAGCTTCCAAGCTCGCCCAGCTGACACCTAGTGCAGCCTGACGTCATACTAGCACGCTCGTAAAAGTATACACAGTAATAGACGCCGCCATCTTTGAACAAACTCCAAGCTCATTGTAAATTCTCCAAGCATGCCAAGTGGTCTAGGAATACTAACAATGATGTCACCAATGCGAAAAGTAAATGCCATACTCATTGGTAGCTAACAAAAAGTATACAGACTGAGCACACTAGAGGCGAGAACAGAGCTAAAAGTAAACGCATCCATAGAAAACAACACAAAATATACTGTGATCAAGCCATAATCATAGAAAAAAGCAATGCATCACAATAGATCAGATATCACAAAATCATATATATATATATCATGGATATCACTATTCCAAACACTTACAACATACCAAATACATACACTGAAAAAATTAGTAAATACTCTGAGCTCATTCATGAAATAAATTGTCTGTGGAGAATGGATAAGGTATTTATTTTGCTGGTAGTCCTTTGTTGTACAGACATCATGCCACATTCATTACACAAAGCTCTTGAAGCATTAGAGGTTCTTAACAGTACATACATCACATTTCAGAAAGCTGCCATATTAAACACATATCACATAGTCAAGAAATTCTTAAACACATACACACATACATACATACATACATACATACATACATACATACATACATGACTAACACGTAAAAAAAGGGGAAGAAAAGCATTTTCTGTAGTTATGTCTTGACTTCAGCCTGGCATAGCAGCCTGAGTAACTGGTGTAGGAAACACTATGAACACCATAACAATAATAAATAACAACAAAAAGAAAATGAATCTTTCAGAGTAACACAGAAAAACTTATAAAATTGATACTGATTTTTAAACCCTACTATCCACTTCATAAAAGAAACTCGTGTAACTCATGCAACAAGCATACTTATTTATTAGATTAGATTAAATTTATTCCACAGATCTGTAGTTTAAATGGTAACTTGTGCAACTGGCCTTTAGTGTTTAATTTCTAAAAATGATATTTTGTTTATTCTAGTGGTGGAATTTCCATTAAGCCCTCTTTACATATGGACTTAATGCGTGCTGACATGGGTGGTGCAGCTTGTATAATTGGAGCAGTTTATGCTGTTGCTAGTCTTAAGATTCCTATAAATATAGTTGGTATGTACTTTAAAACTAGTACTGTATATATTAAACTTATTAAATGATTAAGTACTAATAAAAATATCCTGAAAATAGGATTAATGCCACTTTGTGAAAATTTGCCGAGTGGTCACGCTAATAAACCTGGAGATGTAGTGACAGCAATGAATGGGAAAACAATTCAAGTAAATAAATTTTTATGATTTGTAAAATGTTTTATATTTTTTAACTTAATTTCTGTTTGCTTTAAAAACATTGACAAAAGAAATTCATTTAAATTTTTAATTTTTACATAATTTAATAAAAGATGGTAAAACTTTTAAAAGGAATTTTAAAATAATATAATATGATTACATATTTTAAATATTTGTTTCTTTTTATTACTAACACCTTATTAAATTGCATATTTATTAATGGTTAATTAATTTTATTATATTAAATTAATTATTAAATGAATTATTGCCTTTTATGGCATGTTATCTTTCATTGATAATTCTCAGTAAATAATCATAGTGATATTAGAGTAGCATTGTTATTATAAATACATAGAGATTTTAAAATAACTTTTCAGTTAATTACTATATACATATCATGCTAATATGACAGGTTAGATTTCAGACCTACCTTACAGCAGAATGCACCAATTTTTTTTTTCCTCTTGTCAGTGCATGTTAAAACCAAAAAAAGCAGTTATATTAAGTGAACAATAATGCTGAGCCTAAAAACACCATGCAAAAGTAAAAATAAGTTTATTAATTTTGTCATATCTCATTAAAAACATTCTTGTAGGTGGATAATACTGATGCAGAAGGACGTCTAATATTGGCAGATGCTCTATGTTATGCTCACACGTTTAATCCACAAATGATAATAGATCTTGCAACATTAACAGGTAATTTCACACATTTTAATAATTACATTAACTAGCTTTTTTAATCACTTTACATATATTAATGAGTTGTATGTAAGAATAAAACTTTAATTTTTATTTGTTTTCTGTGTAGTTTTAATTATGTATATTATCCTTAATTGTATAAATTACAACTGAAGCTTTCTTGCTTATTAAATTAGGAGCTATGGATGTTGCCCTTGGATCTGGAGCTACTGGTGTTTTTACAAATTCTACAAAAATGTGGGAAATTATTCATGAGGTAATTTGTATTCTAAAATTTTCTTATAATTAAAGCTTTCTTAAATAGATTAAGAAAGTTTAAAGTCTGAATATAGAAAATAATTGATACTTTGTTAATTTTGTAAATAGATGATCAGAATATCAGATTTTACTAGGCTGAATTTAAAGTTTTTAAAAAGCTGTTATTTTCCTGGCTGTTATATATAACAGAGGGAAAGAATGGCAATTGGTGAAAAAATGACCTCCCCAAAATTTTATATTTCTTGGACTCGGGACCTTGAGAAATGCAAAAAAATTTAGAGACTTTTTTCTGTATGTATGGATGTTAGTGTGTTGGGTACACCAGTTTGTTCACCCACTTTGAAACTTAATAACCCTTGTCTCTTATGTCAAAAATTTCTGAAATTTTTCAAAGATGTTTGTGTATTGGTTGGAGTGTTGCTATTAAATTTTGGTGGTTAAATGTTAGGGGGTTCATGCATCATATTACAAGTTGGGTTGGACTTAAACTCTTCATTAATTAATTAATTAATTATTTGTTATTAGCATTTACAATTTTATTATAAAAGTTGTCCATACCCTTAAAATTAAGCTTTTTGTCATTTTATAGTACTTAATTAATAATATAAGAAATTTTTTAATAGAATATCATAACAGGTCGTGCCACCACAATTTTAAATTTTGTTTGCCAGGAAAGTTAAGCAACTCACTTCTGGATTGTTTTTAATAATGAATTTATTTATTCTTGTAAACCTTAAAAAAATCCAATAAAATCTGATTTATTTGGTTAAAACTCGACTGCTTAAAGTTTTTGTATATTGATATAATTTTTTAAATGATGATTAATTTCGTATTAAAATCTTAAAAACTAACATTTTTTTATGAGTACCGTCAAACTCTGGTAGGAAAATATGACAGTTATTAAGAGTGATGTTTGAAATGTGGTATAAAAGTAGCAGAAATATATTAATTAAGTGTTCTCCCTTGCTGGAAAAATCTGAAAAGAAATGTCAAGGAGTTTTATATAATAGTCAGGGAAACTCATATTTATTGTCAAGTCAGGGAATTTGTTCATTTTTCTGGAAATTTACAAATACTAGATTTATAGTTCAAAACAAAGGAAATTTTTAAAGTTAAAAATGTTTTAAATTATGTATCTATGCATGTATCTGACACCGCTAACAATTTCATTTGAGGAATTCACACAAGACGTGAATGGTAAAAAGTTTTATTGTTCGACGTAAGAACAAATACATGGGAGCAAGAATATGTATACCTTTCCTCTTGTTGAGGAAGAAAAAGAGAGGGGTCGAGGTTCGCATGCTGTGTCGTCACAAAAAGTTCACCAATTAGAGGTGACTGGCTTTATCTATTATGTGAACAGCTCCAACCAGTGGACTGCTGCAATTGTTTTGTGTTTTTTATGTTGAATGCATGAACAAACAATATAGAGACTTGGTCAATGATATTGTTTTTTGTAAACATGAAATATGAAAATGAAACTTTATCAATTAAATTTAATGACAGCCATATTATACACAATTTTGAAATAATGCAATTTTAAAATGCAAATAATAATACACTGCATTGTATCAAATAAGACATGTCAAATTTATATTCAGAAAGAACACTATAATTCTGTTTATTTCTAAATTTTTTAGATAAAATATTATTATAAAAATTGCTGATAAAAGTATTAACTCTCTTGTAAGTATTATAACTTGTAAAAATCAGAATACATTTTTTACATGTTCATGCACGTGAAATGTGCATTCCATTTTTTGGAAAAAATTTTAACCTTGAATTTTTAGCCCTAAGAAATTTTTATAATTTAAAATAGCATCTCAAATATCTTTTTAGGAGTTAGATTTTATGTGAAATTATTTGTTTTTCACTTAATATAAAGCTCTGCTACTTGTTGATTTATAATACTAAAATAGTAAAAGTTTACCAGAAAATATGTCGGGGAAAATCTGGAAAAGTCAGGGAATTTAAGAGTTGGATAAAAGGGAGAAACTCTGTATTAGGTATCACATAAATAATAAATCTGCAAATATTTATTAACTTGATAGTTAATAACAATATATAATATAGGTGTACAGTACATGTGTTTATGCATATATATTTAGTATTTTTCATATACAGTATTTATTGATATACAAAGAATAAGAAACCAAATATACTAATAAATTTAAATGTTAACTGTAATTTTTAAAATTATGGCTGGTCTTAGAGACTTTTTAAAATAAAAATTTCATCTAAGCAGGACTGTTCCAAGTAATTTTGTCACTGATTATGAACTTACATTTCTATAAGCATTATGATACCTTTTTAGCATATCCCTCTATGTGGTCTATTTTTACATAGTTTTTAAATAACTTGGTTTATGTACTGTATGTACATCAGAGAATAGTGTCTGTTGATTTTGTTTCCTATGCTACCTTGCATTTACTATTTTACGTACAAATAATGTTAATGATACATGATGTTAGTATAAAAAAACCTGTGTTTCTTTTGTAAATTGCTTATTTGTTTGTTCCATTGAGGTTGTGTATCCTATCGAGCATTTCTCTACACAATACATATACTGCACTTCTTTATGCAGCATTTTTTGGAATGTGCAGTGGATAGTATCCACTGCACATTCCAGTCTGTGGATAGTATCCACAGAAAGAGAGATAATTGTATGTTCAAATTTGATGCCTGAGACAGTTGTCTGTCCACCTCATCTATTCATAAAGCCTTGTATTAGTTCTAAATTTTCATTCTAAAACAAACAGTATTTTGTGTTTTGAAGATAAATTACAGAAATTTTTTGTAATTAAGTTATATTAGTTTGCATTTAAGGAGAGTCTTGTCAGATTGCAAAGAAGTTAAAACTTCTATATTAAATTAGCAGAGGAAGTCACTTATAATATCACAAGTAACTTAATACTTGTACAAAAATGACATTTAATAAATTGCATCCATAGATATTGTGGTAGATATGTGATTATCAAAAATATAAGTAAGAAATTTTTAATTACTTTTATACATTCCCGAGTTTTAAATTACTATAAATATGTATGTAGAATATTCTAAAAATTTACTATTTATTAAGAGAACCTTAATTTTAAAATGAAATTTAACTTGAAAACATTTAACCACTATGAATTTACTCAACTTTTTAGATAATTGACTATTTGTTTAATAGTTTTGTAAATGTTATCACCAAATTTATTTTCATTCATTGCTACAGAACATTACAAAACATTAAAATTTAATAAATTTTTTTAGGCAGGGAAGTTCACCGGAGACAGAATGTGGAGAATGCCCCTTTTCCATCATTATAGTAAACAAGTGACCGAATGCCATTTGGCCGATCTCTGCAATATAGGAAAACACGGAAGATCTGGAGGATGCTGTACAGCAGCAGCCTTTTTATGGGTAATTTATTAAATGTAATCGATTTTAGCAGGATTACTTTTAATTAATTCTTTGTTATCTGAATAGGAATTTGTTACAATGCCCCAATGGATGCATTTAGATATTGCTGGTGTAATGGAAAACAAAGATGAATGCCAATATCTTTGTAAAGGTTTGGCAGGTAAGTACTAATGTCAAATATTTTATAATTGTATATGCATACATATAAACTGTAACAGTGCAAATATTTAGTTAAATCTCAAAATGTAACCACTTGCTACAGAATAATCTTTAAGTGCTCTAAATATATTCAAAATCCATTGCAATTTTTAACATGTTCAATGACAACCACAAAAGGTGAAGTTATAAAAGCTCTTGTATCAATAGATTAATTGGCAAACATAACACACTTTATTCTAATTTGATCATCCTGGAAATAATGTAAACAGTTTACTCCATAAGTGTGTATATTTTGAGATTTAATTTATTATTTATGGTGAATCTAAACCTTCTTTACGAGTTGCGCATAAATATTTTGGTCACAAGCAATAATTAATCAATCTCAAAATATTTCTTACAGGAAGACCAACTCGAACACTAGTGGAATTTATGTCCGCCTTAGCAAGACAGAGTTAATCATGCTTACTGGAATGATTTACTACATAAAAGCAGTTATTTTCAGTTAATTTTTGTATTGACTGTTTGTTTTGGGATTATACTTGGTGTGATGGCTGTAATGATCAATACAGAGATACTATTTGTATCAAAAAACTGATTAAACCAAAATGTGATAAAATATTTGTTTACATTTTGATTAAATCATATCATTTTTAAAAAACTTTCATCATAAGATTTCACTATTAATTTTAGTTTCATATTTTATTTATACAATAGTAATTAGTCCTCTTTGTAACGTCTTAAGTAATAATTCAATTTCTTCTACTATTGCAAATGTCTTCTAAAGATTCCCAAATCTGGATGAGTCCCATGAAATCTGATCTGCTTGATCTGCAGATCAGATTTTGTGGGAGATTTTTACTATTAGCAAAAAAAGTATTTAAAAACTAGTCTAAAAACCAGAACACTCTTGAGCAATAACTACTACAACACAGAAACATAGGACAGACTTACAGCAATATAGTACATATATCTTTAATCTCATTATAAGTTTCTCACTGCACAATAACTTTTTGGACTTTGTGTTAACATTATCTATTTCAGCAATTATTGGTGACAGCGATACACAGTAAACTATTCTTTAATTATTCGTTTCTATGAATAAAAATGGATAATTATTCAAAAGCCTTACTGTACAATAACAAATTGAATCTAGATGATTACATAAATGGAAGAAAGATTTACTTCATTTTCTTATTTTCAAGTATTGGATTGTGTTCAAGAATGAAATAGAATTAAACTGTTAAGTAAATGTAACTGATTACACAGCCAATTTTCTGTGAATCATATGAAGTTTGGTATATAACTAGTTATGTTTGCTTAGAAGGCTCAAATACTGCTTAATTATTGAAGATAGCATTGATTGATATTTATTACTTTAGCTATAAAAAGTATAGAAAATTCTTAGCTATGGTGTTAAACTTTGTGCAAATAGATATATACCATTTTGTATTGGGCTCACAAATTTAGTAATGTATTTTCAATGTATAAACCTTGAAATTATTTGAAACATTGAAACATTTCTCCTATTTTCAATGTATAAACATTGAAAATAGGAGAAAAAAAGTTCCAAATTACCTGTTTTTTACGAGAAATATTTATATATTGAAATAAAAAATATACAGTCGAACCTCCAATTACGGACATCTCTGCACAGCGGAAACTTTTCAGGAAGTTGAGTGTGCATTTTTTCTCAAATGAACTTTTGCTATTTTTTGTGTTTTTGTCAGTGGCCGTTCAGAGGTTTGCACTCGAAAAATAAGTAACAAACTGGTTGTTTATGTATGTAATTATTGTAAAATTCGGGTTTATTTGTCTCCACTGCTCAAATTGAACATGGTATATACTGTGTTGACAGCTAGTAACACGAATTTTTAATACAGTCGACTCCCCTATAACGCGGTAGATACGTTCTGTTCTTTATGAATCAATTTTGTACGAGTCCTTGCCAATCACAGCCCGACACGTGTGAAGTTTACGGACTACTGCTGTTTGAAAGGTTTTCTTCCATAAAATTAATTGATTCTAGACTAATTCGACTCAACATTTCCAAAATATGTATAATTTTTTGGGAATAATCCGTATAAACTATGCTATGAACAAAAAATTGTAGGATTACTTACCGAGTGTGCACCGTTCGACGTTGCCATTGCTCAAGCTTGTTTTCGTCGCGGAGCAGCGCACCAAACGGCGGGCGATTTCTGATAAGTTATTTTTCTGTGAAAACTTCGTTGAACTTTGGAGACATCATTAATATAAATAATTTTTATGGCCGTTGAATAAGAAATGTTTCTTTCACAAGAAATGTATAAAATTACAGTACTGTATTAGACTTACGGTACCTAATTTACATACCGTACAGATGATAGTAAACAACTTACTCGCCTAAACTCTTTGTAGCGTGGCACTGGACGGCGGAAAGTATATATATAATTATAATAAAGTTACAATAAATTAAGTTAATATATAATTATATATACAGTACCTAATTTATATATAATACTATACAGACGATAGTAAACTCAATTTACCCGCCTAAATTCTCCGTAGCGTGGCGCTGGACGGCGAAAAGTAGTTCGGCTGCCCGATGACGTTTTACCGTATAGGAGTTTTTTTTACCAGGTTTGTACTGATACCATCGCAATTTTTTCGCCATCTTATAGGAATCGTAATTATAGGAACCCGTGTTATAGGGGTCTACTTGTATCATTATTAATTTTTTCATGTTTTAAAGTGTTAGTTATACACTTGTAATGGGCAGAAATAGAATCTAGCATTAGTATGTATGCATCAAAAGGACTATTTCATATCTATCATGGGTATCTAATCTGAATTCGAATTCTTTGTGCTTCACTGTCGTGCCAGCCAGTATACCCGCTTTGGAAGCCACATAACGGTATACATAGCAGGTATAAATATGAATACATGCAATTGTTTATTATTTAAGGTATTTTTGAGAATTTACATGGAAGAAATTGAAAAACTTCAAATTCTAAATTAAGGGTATTTTTAAACTGTCCTGTGGGTATTGAGTAAACCTTTGTTATAGTTTCAACCAGGCCCACAATGGATATGACCGGGTTATGAGGGAGAGAGTCCGACATACTTTTGTATGAATAGTTAAACCCTGTCTTTGTTGATTCCAAAATTAAAGTTAACCTGTAAATCAGTCCAAAATCAGTAACCTGCTGAAAATAATCCATTCATTATTATTATTATTATTAAAAGACAAAGACATAGCAACAATTTACCACAAGTAAAATTTAGAATGGTGATTTTCTAGGTCACAGAAGAAGAATTTTGTCGATCCATCGAAGATTGCGGTAAAAGGGATGTGGATTCGAATCCGATCCCACATTGTGGATTGTTTACACAAGGCTTTTTAATTTATATATAAGGTGAATTATTTATGTAAAGATTTATTGTGGATAAATTTTACATCCTTACGTAATTAACTCCTGTCTAAAACGAACCAGACTATTGACATCAGAATCGATGGCGCATATATTTCCGTGTAATTTACAAAAATTCTCGATTTTTATGAGATTTTTGCCACAAAAATTACGTAGAAGAAGATATTTATTTGAGTGGAATATTTAATTTCGGAAAATTAAGGAGTGAACATTTTGTAATTCTCAAATCAATCATTTCGGACGTATGGAAGACGTGCATTTTGAACTCAAATAAAATTGTGTTTCACTAAAATAATTGCCCATTTTTTTAAAAAAATGTTCTTTATTAATACCACTTCAGCTATGTTTTATATAGAAATACAGTAAGATTTTTTCTATTGAAAGCTCAGTTTAACTGTAATATTATATGATGAATCAATATTGTGAGATGATGATGAATCGAGTGAGAGCAATTATTGGTGACAGCGATACACAGTAAACTATTCTTTAATTATTCGTTTCTATGAATAAAAATGGATAATTATTCAAAAGCCTTACTGTACAATAACAAATTGAATCTAGATGATTACATAAATGGAAGAAAGATTTACTTCATTTTCTTATTTTCAAGTATTGGATTGTGTTCAAGAATGAAATAGAATTAAACTGTTAAGTAAATGTAACTGATTACACAGCCAATTTTCTGTGAATCATATGAAGTTTGGTATATAACTAGTTATGTTTGCTTAGAAGGCTCAAATACTGCTTAATTATTGAAGATAGCATTGATTGATATTTATTACTTTAGCTATAAAAAGTATAGAAAATTCTTAGCTATGGTGTTAAACTTTGTGCAAATAGATATATACCATTTTGTATTGGGCTCACAAATTTAGTAATGTATTTTCAATGTATAAACCTTGAAATTATTTGAAACATTGAAACATTTCTCCTATTTTCAATGTATAAACATTGAAAATAGGAGAAAAAAAGTTCCAAATTACCTGTTTTTTACGAGAAATATTTATATATTGAAATAAAAAATATACAGTCGAACCTCCAATTACGGACATCTCTGCACAGCGGAAACTTTTCAGGAAGTTGAGTGTGCATTTTTTCTCAAATGAACTTTTGCTATTTTTTGTGTTTTTGTCAGTGGCCGTTCAGAGGTTTGCACTCGAAAAATAAGTAACAAACTGGTTGTTTATGTATGTAATTATTGTAAAATTCGGGTTTATTTGTCTCCACTGCTCAAATTGAACATGGTATATACTGTGTTGACAGCTAGTAACACGAATTTTTAATACAGTCGACTCCCCTATAACGCGGTAGATACGTTCTGTTCTTTATGAATCAATTTTGTACGAGTCCTTGCCAATCACAGCCCGACACGTGTNTCTGGTTCTATCGCTGAAGTAACCGAGATTCAGCATGAGTTCTATAATAATAACTGTTTTATAATTATTTTTATTCGATAATTGTTTTCGTTTATTCATTTACTAATTGAGAATTGAAAGACAATTACTTACACTTAGCGTTTTTATTTCCGTTGCTTAACAATTCTTGCATTGTTAGCAAGTGACTAATAAAAAAAAAAGTAAAAATTTTACTATTTATTTTTTGTAAAATGCTGCTGTAAAACCTGTAAACAGCGGCCACCGACGGAAACGTAAAAATTGGCCATTGTAGGGAGTGGACGTTCTTTGCAGGTTATTTTCTTATCTTTGTTCAACGTTCCTAGAAAAACTGGTCGCCATTGAGAGGTGGCTGCTGTTGGAGGTTCGACTGTTTTATCACAGCCAAAGTTCACTCCTTCAACTTTTTCCTCCATCATCTTCATCATCACCCTTTCTCTCCTCCTCACAATATACCAAGACATTAATCTTTTATCTTTATTTATTAAAAACGTATGGTAAATATATTTAAATGCATTAATTCTGCTTTATACACAGCTAAAAACTCAACTGTTATACCAAAATTTTTGTGTATATATGTTTAAAATGCTCTTGACTTCGTGACACCCATTGCTGTTTTCTATGGTGTGACCGAAAAATCTATATTATATAACTATAGCGAAATCCCTTTACGTTAATTTAGTTAGGTACTGTACGTATTACATTTCAATAATTTTAAAAATTATTATAATTTAATAACAGTTTTCTACAGCATCTTGTTGAATTAGTTAATTATTATTATTATCATTACTGAAAAGGGTTTGCATTTCTTC